TTTAAGTTTGTTGAATGAATTTGAGTAACATTTGGTCCAGATTAGTAGGTTGGTTAAAAAATTAAATGGATACACATATGGTTTGGAGAAGGAAAATAGGAACAAAATGAGATAGAGAATTAGAGGTTAAGTTAAATAATTATAAACAAACTAAGGTGATAAAATCACTCCTTAAAACATGATAAGCTCACGTTCGCAAAAATTTCTGTTTTTTTTTCTTTTTTTTAAATAAAAACGAAAATCATAATAAAATAATTGAATAAATAAATATTTTAGATAATATCAAAATTATTTAAATACATAATGTATATTAGAAATTTCTCTTGAATTAGTTAGTATAATAAAGTATGGACCGACCTTAAAAAAAACTAATTAAACCTATATTATTAATTTAGAAATCCGAAAATAATTAATTATTCAAATGATTAAATATTTATATTTGATGCCAAAATTCACATATTATTTTGGCTCCAAATGATGAATTTACTTAAATACCCTTTTTATAAAATAATTCTTAATTAATTAATTAGAAAATACGTATGAAAATATGGGGTATTACAAATACTTACTTCTGTTGATGTGCATTTCGGTAATTTATGTTGTTTTTGGACATGATCTTGAAGTTGAATTTGGCCTTCAAAGGACAACATTGAAGAAATTTGCTGGTTTAGTTTAAATTGAGAGGGATAAAGTGAAAGTAGTGGAGTAGAGCTGAAATGATTTGATTTTTTTTCATCTAACTTTCTATTATATATGTAGGTAGTATCATGTTATTTGCTTTCTCTAAGTTATTATTTTGTCAAATTTATCTTTGCATGCTTTAATTTCATGAATTGGATTTTAACAATTGGTCTTACATGCATTCTTATGTAGCAAGGATATATGCAACACCAACCCAATAAAGAAGCAGCCTAGTTGCTAAACTCGCCCAAAGGCCCCAAAATGAAAGCACAACCCAACCCAAACCTTCACTTCCCAAACGCAACCCACACCAAATCCATATTTTGTTTTTCGATTTTTTTTTAAAAAAAACATTTTACTTCTCATTAATTTTTCAAAAATAAATTTCTACAATTAATTTATCTGATTTTCTCTCTCCAAACTCCATTCTCTCTCCTCTACATGATTTTACTTCACTAAAAATCGAAAAATCAACAATATACGAGAAGAGATGCAAAATTAAATGGATTGTCCTAAAAAAAGGTGAATTTTCTCTGATTTTTGTCCAAATTTATTTATATTTTTATGAATATTACTGATTTTCGTCGTTAATTTTTGTCTGAATTTTTCGACTCTCTGTTTGAATGTTTTGTTTCATAATCACATTAGGAAATCAACACTTATGTTCATGTTTTGAATGATTATGTTCACTTTCTAAAAATGCATATGTTCATATTTTTATGCCTATGTTTACTCTCTGAAAAACTAATATTCACATTTAAGGGAACCTATGAAAATGTTCATATTTTGCATGATTTATGTTCTTTTTCTGGAATTTATATATTCACATTTTTTTAATATGTACATATTTTTCATACTTATAATGCATGCGTTTCTTAATCATATTTTTTTTTTTATTATTTCTTCAGTTTTTATGTTCATAATTAGATGCTTTATATTCATAATAATATTTTATATGTTCATAGATAATTTCAAATATTTATGATGTAAATATGTGTTGTTCATGAAATATTCTCATTAAGTCTGTTTATGCACATGTTCTCTTTCTTAAATGCATATGTTCATATTTTTTATGCCTATGTTCACTTTTTGAAAAGCTAATGTTCACATATAAGGGAACCTATGCATATGTTCATATTTTGCATGATTATGTTCATTGATAAAAAAAAAGTGCAGAAAATCAGGTGAAATTCCTACACAGATGAAATTGATCGAAGCTAACAAAATTCAATTCATATGATTTCAAAATACCAGATAAAACATAATCAATCGGAATTAAGCACAAATTCACCAAATAACAAACTGAAATTGACACATAAATTGAAACAATTACAAGTGAAACATAATAAATCGAATTTGATAGAAGCTAACCAAAAATCAAACAAAAACAATTACAATTGAAACTAACCTAAAAAAACCTAATTACAAATCGCAAAACAAGCCACTAACTTGCATTGACGATCTTATCAGGAAGAACAACCAATTCCATATTGAAAAAAAATTGAAAAAAAAAGAGAAAAATAGAAAAACAGAGGAGAGAGAAGTTAAAGAAGGAAGGAGAAAAAAAAATAGAGAAGAAAAAATTGTAATGAAATTTTTGATTAAAAAGTTCGATGAGAATTAGGGACAAGAGAAGAGAGAGAATTGGAATAAGGAAACCAGAAAATTAAAAAAGGAATAAAAAAATGGAGACAGGAAGAAACATTAGAGCCGAAGTCATGATTTGAGAATGGTTGCGTTTAAAGAATAAAGGCATGCGTTTTACCCTTGCATCTATTTCTACATGCATATTTATGCATGTAAGAATATGCCAGATTTTAATCCCATTTATTAGGTTGGGCTTGGGCCATGGATTACAATACTGGATACTCCTGGGGGTGTAAATGAACCAAGTCAATCAATAAACTACTCGAGTTCAAACTCGGTTAAAACTCGTTCGTGTATTTAATAAATGAGCTGAGTTTGAGCAAATTTTGAACCTCGTTTAATAAATGAGCTTGGACACGAATATAGATATGCTCGTTCAAATATGTTCATAACAACTCGTTTTATTTTCACGAACTACTGGTTTATTTATGTTCATATATTATTGATTTATTCACATTTTTTAATTTAATTATTAAGTTTATACGGTGTGATTAAGATTTAATTATTATACTACTTTTGAGATTTTCAAATGACAAAAGTACTAATCTCGTTTATTATAAAAGTTAGTTTATTATTAAGCTCGTTCATGAATCACTCATTTATCAACTCGTTTAATAAACGAGTTGTTCATGAACTATTCGTGAGCATACATTGTACTAAATGAGTCGAAGTTGAACAAATTTTTGAGCTCGCTTAAAAGATCGGGATTGTGCTCGAATTTGTCTAAGTTAAATAAAGTGAACATGAACAAGGCATTACTCGACTCCACTTATTTACACCTCTATGTCATCATAGTACTAATTGCTAGTCACTGTCTAAATAAACAAACCTCAAAGAGCCGCGTCACCCGCGTGTACTCAACCGCCAACTCAATTGAAAAAAAAAAAAATCAATCACCCAATTCATTCGAATAGAGAAAAATCGAGCTGAAGAAGCTTTCCAAGCAGCCATGGCAATGGCGACTCGCACCGCCATGACTGTAGCCTCATTAATTTCCCCTATAATCGCTGTTCACTACCATAAATTCGATTTTCTAAACCCTAGCTTTTCATCATCATCGTCACCTGCGTCGGCTGATTATGCATCATCTTCGAATCGAAATACGAAGAAGAGTAGTCAAACTGATCGATTATCTGCTGTTATTAATGCTGCTAATGATCGCAAACTTCCTCCTGAACTTCGAGGCCAACGCAATAATGTCAGGTTTTCTCTCTTTCTCCAACTCATTTTCTTCCTTTATACATGTAGATCAATGTTAAAACTTAAAAGCTAGTTTGTTCTATTAATATTGCAACAATGGACCTTTTGCACTATTCATCATTCTTGTTTGACCATATAATGAGTTATACGTTAAGCAAAATATAGTCAAGTGGGATCTTGTTGGATTCGTCTCGTAAAATACTTTCACAATATCAACTTTTTATAATTTTTACTCTCACACAATTATAGATATTTAGCATATAAAAAGTGTTTTGGGATGCGTAATTTCCTCTTTGTTGCAATATTAACAGAACGGAAGAAGTATTATGTTATGTTAATCGGACTTATCGTATTAGATATCCGTGTTGAATACTCAACACTCAGACTTTTCGGCTAGTGTTTGACACTTGGAGACGTACTCGTATCGGACCCGTCAAAGCCGTGTATGTGTAACATAACAAAATTGTACTTTGCTGCAATGTTTATTAATGCATTAATGCAATTGCAAGATGTTGTACACTTGTGCCATGTCTAATTGAAGGTCTCAACTCTCAAAATTATACACTACATTTACATAATTGAATTGCGTGATGTCAATTGGCTTGATAGTTGAGATGTTCATTCTAAATTCTTTTTGGTATTGCTGTGATCATGTTTGGAGTTTCTTTGACTCATAATTAGCAAGTAAACCATGTTTGTCTCAGCCTATGCCGTGTTTCGAGCCAAGGAAAGATTTGATATGTGTTGGTCCAAACTTTTCTGAAGTATCTTGGAAAGAAGAATGATTAATCAAGCTTCACTGATTGGGGTATAAAAATCTACTAACAAAATTTTGTCTTTGCCATGATGTAGAACTATCTACTTTGTCGGAGTCACTTAAAGACTATGTATTGTCTAGGATATTGCTTGAGCTATCTAGAAAGCTATTGAGTTCGCCATGTTCTGTATATCTAATTATCTATTGACCTCGATTAATTTTGGTGATGACAAGCAAACTCGATCTGATAAGGGTGTATTAACTGTGAAGGTTGTTTAGACAAATTCTATGTTAAGAACAAAGTTCCAGGGTTGGAACAAAGAGGAGTCTTTAATCTACATATGGCATACATTGTGGATATTTTGAAGTGAAGAAAGCAAAGAAGGTTTTATGCTGGGATGTTTCTTTCGGAAAGATAGAGTTATCAAAGGTTTAATTGGGATATCGTATAAAGTAGTGAGTATTACTTGAAAACTAAAAAGTATGAGTTATTATTATTTAGGTTTTATGTAAGTGTTTAATATTTTATGATTGGTTGGAACAAAACGAATATGGGAGCTAATTGGAATTAAAAATTGAAACGATTAGTTTTAGTATAAAATTGGATTTTATTTAAAGAAAATTTTATCTTATTTTTTGTTTTGGTTAAAAGTATAAAAATATATTTTTTGTGATTAGATATTTTTTTTTAACAAAATAAATATATTTTCTATAAAGTGATTTTAAATGATCCTTAAATTATGCTCCAAGGAAAGATTTATTCAACTCTCTACCCACGTTCTGTAGAACAACCCTTCTTCTTGACTTATCTTCACTGTTTGAGTCAGTTCCTTATTTTCAGGAACACTAGCTAGGTAATGGAGGATGCAAGGAAGGTGGTTCGGATGTTAGATCGGTGTAAAAAGGGTGTTAAGTTAAAGTTTTAAGGGATCTTGACAACTGAGTAAGAAATATATCTGTGTTAGTGAGAGTATTCTTTTGTTCCAACTATTGTAGGATCATCTAAACACGTAGAGTTCAAATTACTGAGTTGTAATTTATGAAAGGGTTGTGTGACCCTTACAAAGGCTCAGTCATAAGTCTTGAGTGTAGACTTCAAAGTAGAAGCTAGAGCGAGCATTTAGGGTTGGCTTAGGTTCTTAGTGGAACTTAAGTTTTGTTGAGTTCCTTATAGGTTGTAACAGAATATTTGCCCTATTTAGTGAAGTTGAGTTCGAAAATTCCAAGTGGTCGTGGTTGTACTCCTTGTTGGGCATAAAGAGTTTCCATGTAAAAATCTCTTTACATCTCTTTATTTCGTTCTTTATTTCTAATTTCCGCAAAATTTGGGAACACTAGTTCCTACACAATTCATACCCCTTCTTGCGCGTTCCATCTTAGTTAACAAATTTTTTCATTTATCCTCTTAAAAAATTATTCTATAAAAATTGCCAATGACCTTTTCAAATTTTTATATTATATTTTCTTTTAAATGTTCCAATCTTTAAAAAAAAAGTTGTACACTACATCACAAAGAAACCCAAATCCCACTAACTTCCTCCATTATATTTACCAAGCCACTAACTATCTTTTTCCCCCAATATACTACTTTTACCCGATTTCTTATTCTTCCTCCTCAATAACTAGAACCTTCACCAATGGCAAGAACAAGCCACAACACCCCACTCCCTTACCAAACTAGAAAAAAACCTTGTACTTCATCACCCTCCACGGAATCCCAACTCTGTTGGACGCATCTGCATATTCACTTCCACAAAAAGCTAATCTCGAACCAAAATCTAAAAATTCAGTCGGTAATACTAAACTCCAGTCAATTGAACCTAGCTTTTCACCCACTTATAATAAGCACAAAATAAAGAGACGCAAGCTCAAAGATGGTGGTCCATATAATGGGGAAGCAAAGGAGCGTTTGCAAGCCCTAACACTCAAAGCTGACTGACTCACTCGGGGTTTTGCTCTAAATGTGGAATGGTGTCAACCAAGTAAGTTTATTGAATTACTTGACATACTAGAATTTCAAGGATGTGTTCAATTGTTAAATGTACATGCAAAGTAACCATTGATTTCGGAAGCTATGAATGAATTTGTGATAAATTTTGGTTGTGTGAATGGTGTTTGTTCCATTTTAGTGAATAGTACTATCTTTTCTTTTGACACAACTTATCTATTAAAGTTGTTTGGAGTTCCTAATGTTTGGTAATCTTATTATTTTAAGCATAAACACTCTCTGCAAATTGGTGAAGTAACAATCGTGAAGTATGTTGGTGGCATGGTTCGAAAATTCGGTTTTGGTCGCGATTGCGGAAACAGTTGCGTGATTCGGTAGTGGAATTGATGCGTTGATCGCGGAACGGGTTTTTAAGAATAAGATTATAATGAATTTTCTCATAATATTTGAAAATTTTAATTCCTTAAATACTATAACTCTTTTTACTATGTTTAAAAAAAAAAAATCTCTTTTTACTATTCCGTAATAGCCCTTGTTATTACTAAATATTAATGGAGTAACTATTTTATGCATTTTAAAATTAAAATCTCTATGGTACTAATTACGTAGGGGGATAAAAGGGGGTGGATCACATGGGAAGGAAAAAAAGAAAGAAGAAGAGTGAGGGTGGAAGCCACATGTTATTTTATAATAGTGGTGGGGTCAGTCAAATACTCAAATTTCAAAGCAAAAGTAAAAGTAACCCCCTTTCAGCTGTCAAACAGTTCACTCCCAAGTCCCAACCCACATAAGATTTTTTTTAAAAAAAATATTCTGTTATGCTGCAAACAATCGACTTTCATGGAGAAGTCAAAAGCTCGTCGGGAAAGTACCTAAAATGTCGCAAAATTTCTGAAAAAAACCCCGATTCGCACGTTATCTGAACGAGTCATGATTGTATCGGTCGTATCGGGCGATTTAGAACGAAAACACGTTGCATTTCAAGAAACCGCGCCAAAACGCTAAAACTCGGTTCGGTAAATTGAAATCCATTATGATTCGCCCGGTACGTGTTGATGCGGCCACATTTTAATACCCTGGTTGGTGGTAGTGCATGTGATGCTAATATGGCTATACAATTTCTCACCTTTGGTAATATTTTTATTTAGCATAGTTAGAAAGGGAGTGATTCCTGGTCCTCGAAAGAGATATGAGGCGGGTTTGCTTGATTGTACTTTGATTTATTATATTGGCAACAATTTGAAAATCAATTTCCCATTGATCATGATAAAACATCTTAGCCATTATATCCCTAAATGCACGGTTTGTTATGGTACTTAACTTATTACGGGTATTTGAAATCTTTGGTGTAGATTTAAGTTACTTTGATTCTCTTGGTATGCAAGCTAAAACCATTCTACAATATAAATCTTTGACTGCACTTGGCTTGACTTGACTATGGTGAATGGAAAGACTTGTTTTATTCCACACAGGTTGTTATGAAGAAAAAAGAGGGAGTAGGGGAGAGTGAGAAAGAAGAGAGTACCTCCAAAACACAAAAGTAGGAAGAAGTTGTTAGTTAACCAAAACAAATAGGTGGAAGAAGGAGAAAGAGCATGAGGGTGGCTAACCTACCTAAATTGATAAGACCCACCTACATTTTTTGATGTAAGTGAAGACAGTGAGAAAAGTGAGGATAGTAACAAAAGTTAGGGTAGTGAGGAACGTGAGAGTGAGCCAAATCACCTTAAGCCTATGGTAGGGCAGAGTGATAAACCAAAACAGGAGAGTACAAGCTTTGATGTCATCCTCATGTTCCTACAAGGAACACACCTCACTTGGCACTATTGGCAATAGCTCTTGGTATATCTTTTGGTGGTGAGCCTTAGATGCAAACCACGGTTGACATGATGCAGCAAATGATGTCCAAATAGGATCAAATTAGCACCAAACTCATGTCACTTCAAGCTACAATTGGAGCCTTGAAAGGATCGGTCCACGAGCTTCAAATTGTGACTAAAGCTCATAGACAAAATATCACCCACGCTCAGAACATAGTTCTCCAAACGCTTAGAGGATGTTGCTTTTGAAGATGTTCTCGAGAATGATGAATAGTTTGCTTATCTCTACTTATAAGGAACTCGACAAAACTTAAGTTTGCTGCAACATGTCAGCCATAGTTTGCATCTAAGGCTCACAAGAAGAAGACTGTTGGAGATTACCAAAACCTACTGTTAATAGTACAAAAGGAAGGTTTGTTCCTTGTAGGAACATGAGGAATGACATCAAAGCTTGTACTCCCTTGTTTTTGTTTATCACTCTACTCCACCATAGGCTAAAGGTGTTTTGGCTTACTCTTACTTTCACTATCCTCACTGTCTTCGCTTACATCAACAAATGTGGGTGGTTTTATCAATTTAGGTAGGTTAGCCACCCTCATGCTCTTTCTCCGTATTCCACCTATTTGTTTTGGTTTACTAACAAGCTTTTCCTACTTTTGTGTTTTTTAGGCACTATGTTCTTTCTCACTCTCCACTGCTCCTTTTTTTTTTTCTTCTTAATAACCTCTCCAATCTCAGGTTGAATAAAAAAAGTCTTTCCATCCGCCACAATCAAGCCAAATGCAGTTAAAGAATTATATTGTAGGATGGTTTTAGCTTGCATACCAAGAGATCAAAGACACTTAAATCTACACCAAAGCTTTCAAATACTGTGTTAAGTAAAGTACCATAACCAACCGTTTATTTAGGGATACAATGGCTAAGGTGTTGTATATGATCGATGGGAAATTGATTTTCAAATTATTGCCAAGACAATAAATCAAAGCTCAATCAAGCAAACCCGCCTCATATCTCTTTCAAGGACTAGGAATCACTCCCTTTCTAACTATGCTAAATAACAATATTCCCAAAGGTGAGAAATTGTATTGTCATATTAGCATCACATGCACTACCACCAACATACTTCACGATTTGATCATGTGTTTCTTCACCAATTTGCACAGTGTATTTATGCTTAAAATAATCAGAATATCAAACATTAGGAACTCCAAACAACATTGTTAGATAAGTTGCATCAAAAGAAAAGGCAGTACCATTTACTTGACTGGAACAAACACCATTCACACAACCAAAATTTATCACAAATTCATTCAAAGCATCCGAAACCAAGGGTTTCTTTGCATGTACATTTAACAATTGAACCCATACTTGAAATTCTAGTATGTTAAGTAATTCAGTATTCACCATCCAACTATATAGCAAAACCCCGAGCGAGTTGGTCGGCTTTGAGTGTAGGGTTTTTAAATGCTCCTTTGCTTCCCCCTTTGATGGACCACCACCTTTGAGCTTGCGTCTCTTTATTTTGTGCGTATTATAAGTGGGTGAAAAGCTAGGTTCAATTGATTGGGGTTTAGTATTTCTGGCTTATTTTCAGATTTTGGTTCGAGAGTGGCTTTTTGTGGTGGTAAAAATGCAGATGCGTTGGGGATTCCGTGGAGGGTGATGAAGTGTGAGGTTTTTTTTTTTCTGGTTTGGTGAGGGAGTGGGGTGTTGTGGCTTGTTCTTGCCATTGGTGAAGGTTCTAGTTATCGAGGAGGAATAATAAGAAAAGGCGTAAAAGTAGTATATTGGGGAAGAAGATATTTAGTGGCCTTGTAAATATAATGGAGGAGGTAAGTGGGATTTGGGTTTCTTGTTGTTGTAGTCTGCCGTAAGCTCGTAACTTTTCGTTTTTTTTTTTAAATTTACTTAATCCTATTTATTATTTATTCGTATTTTTTCTTTTGCTATTTACAAATATTTTCATTAAGTAACGGAGGATGTGAGGAAGGTGGTTAGGATGTTAGATCAATATAAAAAGGGATTTAAGTTCCCAAACACTACAATATTTGAGTTAGAATTATATTTGTGTCAGTGAGAGTTTCCTTTGTTCCAACTATTGTAAGATCATCTAAACACGTAGAGTTCAAATTACTGTGTTGTAATTTGGGAAAGGGTTGAGTGATCCTTGTAAAGGCTTAGTGATAAGTCTTGACTGTAGGCTTCGGAATAGAAGATAGAGTGAGCATTTGGGGTTGGCTTAGGTTCTTAGTGGAACTTAAGTTTTTTCAAGTTCCTTATAGGTTGTTACGGAGTAGTAGCCCTCTTTAGTGAAGTCGAGTTCAAAAATTCCAAGTGGTCGTGGTTTTTCTCCTTGTTGGGCACAAGGAGTTTCCCCGTAAAATCTCCTTGCATTTCTTTATTTCGTTCCATGTTTTAATTTCCGCAAAATTTGGGAACACTAATTCCTACATAATCCCCCCCCCATTTTGTGTGTTCCATCTAAGTTTACTATATCGCTCTAGAAGAAGGCTAGATGCCATTTACTTATGCAATTAAAGGAACCTGGAAACTGTCTTGTTGACATTTTCATGATGGGGTTTGCCATTCATAGTATGTAAAATGCAAGAATCAAATTGATCCATCAAGGTTTTGGTATAAATTTATTCAACATTTAAGAGAAACTACGAGTGCTAGTTACTGTATTATCTCTTCATTCCCATAGGAGGTACAAGTGTTTGCATAGTTGTTTGTATTGCATTGATATTTTGAGTGGTACTTATTTTGTTCCTCTAATATTGCAACAATTATCATTTTAGTAAGTTTCACAAATATTGCAACATTTTCTTGTGTATACATATTTTCTCTCTTTCGCTCTCCTCATCACATGGGTCCCTATCTTTATTTCTATCTCTCTCTTCTTCTTAAATTCCATGTCCTCCCCCCATGTTGCAATATTTAGGGAATGGAGGAAGTATAATATTTGAAAAGAAAAGGTTAGTTAAGAAGTCAGATTATATTAATGGAGTTTGTATTGCTGAGGTGAGAAAAAAATATGAAAGCATTTTTGACTTTCTAGTCTTCTTGTGAAGCTATGCTTAATCATTAACAGGTCTAATTTATTTTTGTAATACTGCAAACAAATTATTACTCTTTTGGTGAGTTGTTTATACAATGACAATTTGTAAGTAGGATTGAAGACTTGGTATATAAAAGTAGCGGAACTTTATGTGTACTATACGTGTTCTAGTTAAATTTTTTCCCTGCATAAATGATTTGACTACCTTGATATATTAACCTCTATAAAATGTGGAAATTTCATCTCATGCAAAGTAATCATGTTAATCTTAAATCAAGTGGAATTCAGGGGTAGATGAACTTTGTACTTGGTGTAGTCGTCCATTGAGTCTTTGTATGAGTATCATAGAAGTTTTTCAATGAGTCTCTTTTGACAGTTGTTTCACTTATTTGATAATACATTTAACTAGCTATTTGGACTTGCCAATCTTATTGTAATTTCTTCTATACTGCATTATAGTCATCATATCCTTTAGAAGGGATTATATATATGATGAAGATCTTTGATTAATGTATTGTACTGCAGTAAAGGTCTCAATTTCTTAGCACATATTCTCTTTTTTATGGTGTCGAGAATTTTCCCGTCACCTTTGATTTCATGTATGCTTCACGAGCTCTTGGTTTTAACCTGTTTTATTTTGCACTTCTGTTCATTATCTTTCTTTTTTTGTTTGATATTTTGCTTCATAGCCGCCATACTTTTGAAAGGAGATAGGAAAATCTGTGTGGAAAGGCACCAATTGTTCTTCACTACCTTGATTTTTTTATTTCTGTATAGTTAAGGGATAGCACAGGATGGCTCATGACTCATGTAGCTGTTCACTAAGTTTTCTTAATTCATTTAAACCAACTTCCACCTGAACCTTGATTGACCTTTCAAATTCACTTAGTCACGTTACCTTTCAGATTCATACAAAATTATAAGATTTTTTTAAATGTACTTTTATTTCATGCCTCCCTTTCCTTGTTCTTATCATTTTGGCACTCGTTGACAGTGGCAACTGGCAAAAAATCTTTCCAATGATCTTTTTTGACTAATATGCATGCATGTTTCGTGACAAACCTTTTTGACTTGGGCTGAGTTGTGCAGATCAGAAACCGACATAGTTAACATTGTTGAGAAAAGAATATGGCAATCCATGGAAGAAGGCCATTTCGAGAAATTACCTGGTAAGGGAAAACCTCTCGATCTTAGTACCAATCCTCATGCAGCTCCTGATGAGGACACACTATATCGAGTTCTCTCAAAGAATGGGTGTGCACCAGAGTGGGTGGAACTCAACAAGCAGATAAGGAGCGATGCTGCTGAATGGCGGTCAGCATTAAAGAAAGCATGGGCATACAAGGTCAATGGAAATGTTGCTAAATGGACTGAATGCTCAGAGACTTTAAAGGCTGGAATGAGTGCTATTAATAACAAGGTTGGTTTTTAAGATCTGGGCATCCTGTATCATACTTAGTATCATCATATCCATGTCTGATTTCCAACTGCTATTTTATTCATTAAATTTACTCGTGCTTGGCCAGTTTGTGGAATGCACAGGTATTTCGCTATAACTTAGTTGTGCCTTTTGGTCGCCAAATGTTTGGCATCAAGTGGGAGAAGGAATTGGATCGCCTGAAACAATCCTAACAATACAGCATGCAGATCCTAAGATTTATTCACACTTTGGCAGGTCATGTCTGAAATTGCCTTCTTGAAAGGCCTTTGTTAGGAAGAAAGGACTATTTTGGTTGTATGAGAATCATCAGAGCATGTGTTCCCCTCTGAACCAATGCATCAAAATGCAAGAAATGTAAAATGTATATCATAATGTAGATAGTTTGTTTGGTATGTCTTTACTCGTGATTTGCTTTGCGTCTCATAAGTGTGTTTTACACTATGTCCCCAAAAATAAGTCTCATTTGCATTTTGTACACAATTTAGGAAAGTGAATATAAAATTGGATGGTGGAGTTTGGTTGATTAAAGATGAATATTAAAAACTAGTTTTTGGAGCATTCTTAGAATTTGCATCAATGGAGGAGAAAACTTGAGGAATATGATGATCCTCTTAGCTGTAATTGTGAGCTTCAAAGGTGATCCATGGACTTAAAATAAAGTATACATGGGTCTGAATTATTATGAATATATATAGAAAATCTTGAAATTGAATCACGGATTATCATTATCCTACTGAATATACATTGATCTGTATTATTATCAATATACCTTTATTCTCTTAGTAAACATTATCATTATAAATTGATTCAATTGAATAAAAAAAGTTCATTGCATTTATGAACTGGGAAATACTATTTAGCATCACACAAATTCTTATATGTGTGTGGCCAGCCACCATGAGGTTACTTCGTCAGTGTTATGGATGTTAATTGGTCAGTGTTACATGAATTATTCGGTCAGTGTTAAAGGGGTTACTCAATTAGTAGTATAGGGGTTACTTTGTTATTTTACAAGTGGTCACACAGTGTGGCCAGTCGCACACAAAACGAACAATTATCATCATTAATTCATTACTATAATTTATCTGCGTAAATATAAAATAATTTTCTATCTTGATCTCTTTTTCTCTAAACACAATTCATATCATATCTTGCCTTAAAAAGACATCACTTATAACATTCACATAAATTACAATGAAAAGATAAAGGTGTTCAAAATTGGAATATTGCATTGGATGTCGGCATACCATTACAAATAAAAGTTATACTTCAACATTAATAAACAAAAGAAAGGACTAATGATTAAAATATACTACCTTTTTTTTTTTTAGTTGACACATTTTGACTTTTGCATTATTCACACTCCCTTTTGACCATATTTGCGCTTTATACGTAGTGAAAAATATAGTCATATGTGAATTAGGGATCTTGTTAGTTCCTCACGATATATATTTTCAAACAAGTTATACTAGTATATACATACCCTCCATTGGTTGGATGATATCCTCTATTGTCTATATGATATCATAGTTGGATGATATATGATATCCTCTTTTAGTTATATGATATCGTTTATGATTGTGTGTATGATATCTTTTATTGGCGGGATGATATCTTTTATTGGCTATATGATATCATGGTTGGATGATATCCTCTATTAGTTATATGATACCGTTTGATTGTGTCTATGACATCTTTTATTGGTTGGATATCATATAACCAATAAAGGATATCATCTAGCTAATATGTGATATCATCTAGCTAGTAGAATTATCACCCAGTTAATAAAGGATACTATATAGTCAATAAAGGATATCATCCAACCAATAGAGGATATCATCCAGTCAATAAAGGATATTATATAGACAATAAAAGATATTATCTAGTTGGTAGAGGATATCATCTAGCCAATAAAGGATATCATCTAGCCATTAGAAATATCATCCAACCAATAAAGAAAATCATATAGCCAATAAAGGATATTATCCATTTAGTAGAGGATATCATCCTGTCAATAGAGGATAATATCCAGTCAATAGAGAATATCATCCTGCCAATTAAGGATATCAAAAATCTGCATTTTGTCAATCCGGACTGACGAATACCTTCTCATTAATAATATATATATTAATATGATAATATGTTAGTTTAATTTGTAAATTGTGATGTTGACCATGTTGTAAGTCATTAATATTTTCCTAAATAATGAAGCCACTAGATGTTCCCTTTCAAACCAACAAACACATAAAATCATGACATTTTAAAAAAAGAAGACATAAAAAATTATAAAACATAAGGTAGAGACTATAATTACTACCAAGAGACAATAAAAAATGGCATCAGAATCCCAAAAGTAAAATAAAATATAATTTTTTATTAAAAAAAATAATAAATATTTCTCCTTAATATCAATACTATTTTTTTGTCAATAGTGATACATACCACAGAATACTTTAATAATTCCAATAAAAAAAACTAATTAGCAAACCTATATTCTATAACTAATACTAAAATAATTACCGCCGACATCACCATTGTTATATGTCACTGACAGGCTAAAGTCGTATCACCTAATCAAAAGTATTACCTAAGTCCTCTAACTAATGTAGATAGGGAAGTAGGGTCGAATCCACAGGGAAACAAGTCTTTCTATTCCTAATTAATTAATATAATCTAGATTATCAAGTAACCAAAATTGTAGTTATTAAAAAGAAACTAAACTAAGGAGATTAAGAGTAGGGAGAAATCAATAATAAAAGGACTAGGGTCATAGGTTCACCAATAATTAATATTCCGGGATAAAACATAACAACCAATAATTAACATTGCATAAGTAACATGATTAACAGGCTCTCGCGATTTATTAATCAACATAGATCTAACAGGCTCTCGCAATTTACTAGATCTAAGTTCCTATTGAAAATAGCCTTTAATATCAAATTAACATATGCTCGATTCATCAATTCAATATTGCTATACTTTTACAAACAAATCATATATGCTCGATTCATAATCTGGTTGTAAATCGTTAAAACAATTCAATAAGAAATTATCATGCAATATCAATAATCAACAATAACAAATTATCCCTTCATATTAATTATGGATTCCTCAAAACCCTATAAAGGAAACTACTCATACATAATTAAAGATAAACTAAACAAAGCAATTAAAGGAGACATGATTAAGATCAAAGCAAAGAAAATAAGTGATAAAGGAGAGAAGAGATAGTACCAAAAGAAGGAAATATAAAATTGCATAAATTAAGAATTTAGAGAGAGAAACAAGAAAGAGAAACAAGAGAGAAAGTAATACTAAGAGTTTAATTAAGAGGAGAAAGAGAGAGAAAAGTTAGAGAGAGAAAACTAAAACTAAAACTAAAACTAAAACTAATTAATAAAACTAAAACTAAACTAATGAAAACTTTAAATTAAGGGTTCGTTTGGCATTGCTGTGGTTTTCTGTTTTTTGGTTTTTTGTTTTATAAAAATATATGATATATGTCACATAATGAATAAAAAATTATTTAAACTTATTAAAATCATAATAATTTTGAAAACTGACAACAAAAAAGTGAAAACACCTTTTTCTTGTTTCCTGTTTTTGGTTTTTAGTTTTCAAAAAACAGAAAACTAAAAACAAAAATGATTCCAAATAAGCCCTAAACTAAGAAAAACTTCTCCTCACGTCCTACTGCTACTCTCTTAAATAGGAAAAGAAAAAGGTAGTTTACTCAATGTCAACTTTAATCCCACTCAATCTAGGACTAGAGAAACAAATTACATCAAGAAGGAACTGCGTGAAAGGTCCGTGAGTTGGGTATAACCTACCCAAATCGACGATGCCCAAAACAACAGGCCCAACTTCACAAACCCAAGTTAGTTCATAGCATACGGAACTTCCGCCCAGCAAGAGTATTTGTAAAGTTGGCCTCTTCTCCACTTGGGCCTAAATTTCCTTCCTCTTAATTTATCTTGGACTTGCAACAAAAGTAATACTCCACATGAAACGAACCCTTAATCACCGAATCAAATTTAATTAGCTTGACCTTGGGCTTCAAATACTCGTCATAAGGTACGATCATCTCTAATATCTTTGTAGCGGCTCAATAAGCTCGAAAATTGACATAAATTTGCAAATTCCTACAAAATAATACCAACTCTACAAAAACACTAGAAAACATATATTAGTAATAAAAAAATAGCTCCGCAGAGCTCAAATAAGCACAAATATGACCGTGGGACAAAGGATAAAAATATATATATAATAGACTTATCAGTCACCTTCGTTCTTATTTAAAAAATTTCCCTCCAAACTTTTAAAAGACATAATTTTTTTTTGAAGATAAAGCTAGTGTTTGGAAATGGTAAATTAATTATAAAATTTCCTAAAAGCTTTTATGACTAAATTTATTAACTAAGTTGATATAATGCTAACAAGCATTTCATATATTTTATTTTAATTATGAATACTACCTCCATTACATATTATTTGCAACGATTAGACATTTTTCCTCTCTACTTTATGTCAAATCGTTGCAAATAATGTGTAATGGAGGTAGTATTTAACGTCATTTTATAGCTCAATTTATCTAACAAGAGAGATCATTATTTACTATGGTTTTCTTAAATTATTTATATTACATATATAAGTGCAAAATTTTTATTGCTAAAATTTGTGGTGGATCTAGAAATTTCAAAATGGGGGTGCAAAATTAGATGTTCATTGATTGATATATATTATTAATGTTTTTCATAATGTGAATGTTTTTACTTGCTAGTTCTTATTTTATCTACATACATCCTCGCCCCATTCCTTTTGTATAAAAATATATTGATACGAATCTTTTAAAAAAAAAGCCTCAATGACTATATTTTCATTTACGTATAAATCACAATTTGTGGTTATAAAAGATTGTATGAATAGTGTCAAAAGTTCAAACATAGCAATATTTATAAAGTAGGGAAAATATATACTCCCTCCGCTTCATGTTACTCGCAACAAAGGACATGTTTGCGGAGGCCGAGGCAAAATATTGAAAGTAGATTAATTAAGGTGAGGGGTATAGTATTAGGAGAGATAAATTGGTGGGAAAAGTTGTGATCCCATATTTAGCTTTAACACCCATGTTGGGGGGAATTTTTTTTAGTGGGAAATATCCCACCGTAACTCTGCTTCCCACGAAAGGGAATGTGAGTTTTTTGGAGGATAAATTTTCCCTCCCTTACTTTTACATGAAATTTCAAAACTTTTGCCAAATTCACCCACATTCAAAAGTATTCATAATTTCCAGCCAAAATGACCCCTTTATAAGGTGGTCTCCCCTTGAAATGAAGCCATTTTTTTTTGTTCATTTTCAAACACAATACCTAGGTGGGGGGGGGGATTCAAAGAGTATCCAAAAAAACCAACACAGTATTTCTTCAAAAGATACAAGCAGCCCAAGTAAATTACATTTCCCTACAATTAGTTGTTAATAATCCTAATTTCTAAGTGCTCTGTTAGAACCAGCAGCAACCATATGTACT